TCGCATATATAATCCAATCTATCCAGATCAGTGATTTATGTTTCTAATAATAAGGAGAAAAAGTGTATGATCAGTTTTATAAATATATTGTAAACTTGAAAATTTGGAAGAATTATAAAATTGATCATGTATTTTTTTTTTTTTAAACACTCAACCATTGATAAATTTTGATGGATGACTATGATCAATAATCACTTTTTCGAGGAAAAACATGTTGGTATTTGAATTCCTATATATGTCCTGCCTCCTATGAAAATTGCCCTTCCCATTAGAATTGTGAACAAATCTAAACTATTCATCTAATATATCTAATAGTTGAAAAATAAATGAAAAAAAAATAGATTATAATTTTATAAATATCATAAACTTCAAAGTTTGTAATATTTATGAAGCTGACTTCGCCACGTCTTTTATAGACTTACTAGATAAACCATCCAAATTTGTTAACACTTTTTCCATATGAACATACACACACCTATCATATCTAGAATTAAATGAGATTATATAATATAAACCATATTCATAATTTCATATTATATAACTTGAACCAAAGGATAGTTATGCTGTGCATCCGTATGCACCATGCATGGTGCATACGGATGCCAAAACGACGTCGTTTTATTAAAAAACGCGCGTCTCCCGTTTAAAAAAAATTCAGGTTCGATTCCCAGCAACAACATTATATTGTTCATTCATTCTGTAATTATAGTTCATTGATTATGGAATTATAGTTCATTGATTATGGAATTGTAGTTCATCGATTATGGAATTGTAGTTCATCGATTTTGAAATTTTAATTTATAGATTATGGAATTTTAGTTCATTCATTCTGGAATTTTTAGTTCATAGATTAGATTATGGAATTATAGTTCATCGATTATGGAATTTTAATTCATATGTTGTTGCTGGGAATCGAACCTGATTTTTTTTTTTTTTAAGGGGAGACGCGCGTTTTATTAAAACAACGTCGTTTTTGCATCCGTATGCACCATGCATGGTGCATACGGATGCACAACATAATTTGCCCAGTCGTTATATTATAGACCGCGGTGCATGTGCACCGCGGTAAAAAACGGCGCCGTTTCTTTAAGTAAAGAAACGGCCCGCCGTTAGAGTTAACGGAGTCCGCTTGTTTGGTGTATTAAACACCAACTGACACTATAGTATATCTAAACCGACACTGCAGTTATATCAAAATGATACTGTAGTTATAGTGAAATGAAACTGCAGTGTATATAAAATGAAACTGAATAACATTTCACATATTTGAGTGTATATTGTACAATGAAGCTGTAATTATATCAAAATGATCATGTAGTTGTGTTTTAATGAAACTATAATGTATATAAAATAAAATTAAATAACATTTTCACATATTTGAGTCTATAAATATCGAATGAAACTATAGTTATATCGAAATGAAACTATAGTTGTGTTGAACTGAAACTGCAGTGTATACAAAATGACACTGAATAACAGAGTTACTTTTTGCAAAAGGGTGCGAAACGGCGAAAACTAACACTATTTATTTTCATTTAAAAAAAAGCTGCGTGGTGCATAATCGATTATGCACCGCGGTGCATAATATAATTTGCCTAATTTGCCTGAACCAAATACATATAAAAACCTTAATTGGGCATCGCTTGGAACTATGGGCGTAGCACAACCCATGGGCTATATGTGATTAGAAGCAATCGCATTTTTAATGGGTTTGGTTATTTGAATAGAAATTTGTACTATGAGACTTATTTAAAAAAAATAATAAAAAATCCAATGTAATCAGTTTATTTCATTGTTTTCTCTTATTTTTTTCAAAAATTAGTTAATCCATTTCTCCATTTCAATCGTTCACTTAAATATCAAATCACAAAATCTTACATTTTTAAAGATTAATATTATAATATAGTTTGAAAATTATGTTTAAACAATTATACGTTGGATATGACCCCTAATATTTGCTGGCATGGTTGCAAAAATCCCACCTAGACGCCGATTAATTGGTGCCTAGGCGCTAGGCGGTCGCTGCGAGGAAGGCCGGAATCGGCCTCCTCCGCGACCGACCGCCTAACCGGTCAGTTCGGCCGTATATTTTAATTTTTATTTATTTTTACGTTTTAAAGTGTTAAAAGTTCAGAAAAACATAACTTTTGACTCGGTTGTCCGTTTTGGACAATTTTTTTTTTCAAATCGCGTATTTTTTCGAGATCTATACACCGCAAATTGCCGAAGGCAGTTTGGCCCTCTAATTTCTCCAAAAAATGCTTCTTTTGCTTTTAATTTTAATTTTTTATGTTTTAAATGGTTTCAACAATATTCAAAACGATTTTACAACCCCTTGTGTAAATAATTTGTAAGAAAAAATTAGGGGAACCTTATGTTTTATTAGTGAATTTCACAATTTTTTTTAAAAAAATAAATAAATAAATAAATCGGCGCCTCGCTTAACGTGTTTTTCAACCTTAGTTGCTAGTACTACAAATCCAGCTTATGCACTTGAAAGTATTCAGCAATAAAGTGATTAAAATTCATTGATTAGACGTGATAGGATTCACATGCATCTGATAAGCACAATCAAGTTCTTATGTAAATATTTGCAATGATTCCTAAGGTTCAGCATAAAGTTTGTAAACCCCCCTTTCAAGTTCATGGTTCTAGAATGAAACTTTTATTAAAGTATGCTAAACCTTAGAACATGAAATGAGAACTAAATTTAAAAAAAAAACAAAAAACAAAAAACCCAAGCGTACACAGAGAGCTTACATGTACCAATGTTGTTTTCTGCTCCTGTGTCAATGTATAGAGTGCAACGAGCAGCAATCCAAAGCACTCTCTAGGAGAGTAAAACCTCAACTTGGTGTTTCTGGTCCATTTCAGAGACATCTGAAATATAATGCTTATAATGTTTGTCATTTCGCAGAAAAATATTAAGAAGCTGTAATAGACAATTAGTAACGAAAAGCTCAACACATGCTCATGTTACTTATAAATAGTGCTACACCATTCAGAGTATATATATATATAGTCACAATTCTAATTAAAAATCTAAGCGATACAAGGTAATGGTAATGAACAAATGATACTAAACTGGAAAACAATTTACTACCACATCCATTGTCTTGTCATAATTATAGTTTTAAAGAAAACAGAAAGAAGGGGAAAAACAAAACTAAACTGGCTATAAAGTATACCGTGGATGGCACTGTATTTATATGTTAATGCACTCTCTTGAGACACAAGATGGTACCAAATAACCTAGCTACTTAAAATATTGATCATGATGGAAGATCTTATCAACACAGAGTAACAAAGAAGACAGTGAAAGCTTACTTTGCTATGCACTTCTGCTTGTAGGAGAGTGCCAGGTTAGCCTGTAATGTCAGAAGATTCATAGATGTATGCGGTGGATAGAGAGGGATGCCATGACTTCAGGATTAATCTGTGGTTCACATAGGTGAATATTTAGACCCTTTTACAAAAGGAAAAATATTTTGCACCTATACACCAGCAGTGTATCAAATATTTTTCCTTTACAAAAAATGGTACAAGTTGCAGCAGTACAAAAGCCACCAGAACAAAACATTTGAGTCATATGAACTTGGACACACATCCTGTGCTTTCTACCTTTGCTATTTAGGCATTTAGTAGCAAGTCCTCAAAAACATAGCTTTCACAAAGCTCTACTTGTATGATCTTCATTAAACTGACCAACAGCTTCAAGTATTGATGTGTATGTAATAAGATCATATTCAAAACCATTTGTATGCATCTCTTTCATCAACCTTGCAGCCTCCTCAAACATACCAGCACGACTGAGACAACCAAGAATGGTGTTGTATGAGATAGCATCTGGTTTAACGTCAGATTGTTTCATTTTCATAAACATGTCAATTGCACGTTGTGGACCACCTTTCTTAGCTAAACCATTTAGGATTATATTGTATGAGTTAATATCAGGAACACAATCACTTTCTACCATATTTTGAAGCCAGGAATGAGCTTCATCTACCAAGCCAGCCCTTACAAGCCCTGACATAAGAGCATTGTATGCATAGACATCAGGACGGCATCCCAACGTTTTCATTTCGTTGAAAAGATCAACAGCCTCAGACAAACGTCCACATTTACCAAAATGTTTTATCATCACTGCATATACCCTAGCACTTGAAGACCCACAATTCTCCTTTAGCTCCTGAAATAACTCATTTGCAGCTTCATAGCGTTTTGCTTTTCCAAGAGTGTTAATCAAGCTGCAATAGGCAGCTGGACAGGGAGGAAAACCCTTCTCATCCATCTCCTCAAGCAGCATCAAAGCCTTTTCAACCCTATTTGTCTTGCAATACCCATCAATAAATATTGAATAAGTGAAAGAGCTTGGCGCAACACCATTTGCCTTCATCCTTTCAAACCATGATGAAGCTTCAGGTACTGGACCTTTGGATTGAAACAAAGACTTTATAACAGTATTATAGGTCACCACATTTGGAGTACAATTTAAGGACTCCATTTCCTCAAACAGTTTATGAGCATCATCTACGCGTCCTGCCCTTGCTAGAATATTCATGACATTATTTAGTAGTACAACATCAGGTTTACAACCATCTTTTAGAATATTAAGGAATATAGAATAAGCTTCTTCAGTTCTACCAGCTCTGCCAAGGCCCTTTATCAATTCAGTGTAAGTATAAACAGTTGGAGGACAACCTTTTTCCTTCATCTCATGGACTAACCCTAGAGCCTTTTCAATGCTATGCTTCTTGAAGTAAACTCCTAACAAAGTAGTGTATATCCTTGCAGTGGGATGTAAACCATTCTCCTTCATTTCATCAAACAACCTCAGAGCAGAATCATCTTGGCCTAGTTTTGTGAATGCTGATATAAGTGCAGTATACGTTACTGTGTCTGGATAACAGTTACCTTCAGTACACATTTCATTGTAAAGCTCATAAACTTTCTCATGCTGACCTTCTTGCATCAGCATTAAAATTACAGAGTTGTAAGTGGTTGCAGTTGGCTTGCACTTGCGACCTTTGATCTGGAAAAATACAATAAGAGCTTTGCTTACCATTTTTGCTCTCCCTAAAACCCTCACAATCTCAGAAAGATCACTAGGGGAAATTAGGCATTTACTCCTCACCATTTCTTGGATTTTTCTCCATAGTTGACCTGTCAACCCTGCTTCTTCAAGACAATGGATCAAAGCCAAGTATGTAGTGGAGTCATGCTCAAAGTTCCTTCTTTTCCCAGCCCACTTGAAAAACTCAATTTTCGTAGTGACCTCTACATCTACTTTCAATACCTCACGAACCAATAGATGATCCACTTTCATCTGTAGGACCTCTAAAGACTTTTCAGCATCAGGACCCCACTTAAATATTTTTAAAATCCTAATGAACCTCTCATCCAATGTCCTTACAGCACTATTTCTTTGCGAAGATGTCCGATTCAAGGCATAATTTACTGTGTTCACTTTAGGATTTGAAAGTTGAAACATTTTAACAATTTCGCTGTCTGTAATATCAAAGAAAACAAAACCAATTAAATGGACATTCCAAAATCCCCCACCCAAAAAAAAAAAAAAAAAAGTCAACAAAGAATTTTAAATGGGACAATTTAATTTGAATGGAGTCAAATAAATTGGCATTTTCATGGAGATGGAGAGAGGGGAAGAAGAAAAGAAAATGAAGCCTACCTGTCTGCTTACTTCTGTCACATAGATAACAAAAAGTAGAGATTCTTCTTCTTGAACCAGATAATGTTGCAATCATCCTTGCTTCAACTCAATCAGCTATAGAAACAATTGATCTCATGTGAGATAAACACACTATATAGCATCACAAACTCACAATTGACTCCATACACACACACACACACATACATACATTATTCACATGAATTTTTCCAGGTAATACAGAAAACACGAAGATTAACCATAAAAGATTAAGCCAGTGCATTTTTTTTTTAAAGTATAAAAAATATATCATTCAAGAAAAAAAAAATCAGAAAGTTGCAAAAATATTTTACAATTTTATCTTATTCAAAACAAAAATTGTGACAGAAATTTCTGAATAGAAAAAATATTTCATCAAAATAATATATAAATATATAAAATACACGAATGGCATTTCTAAGTGCTTGCTTTATATTATTTCATTATATATTTATATATTTGATAAATAAACTTCCAAATGCAAATGTGCAAATAAAAGATTCTAAATTGAGAAAGACTTTGCCAATGCAATTCTAGTAACCAAAGGAAATATTACAAACCAACAGAACCAGTGGAGGAGCTGTCCCAAATAGAAGAAGAATTGGGATTGCTAGAACTTGGATTTAAGCAATTGACACTCTTTTAATTATGAATATGCACAATATGTCAACATTTCGTGGAATACTTTGGCAACATCTTTACGAAGCAAAAGAGAGGTTGTCTTGGCAGTGCATCAAGTGGAATTGCATCTCTATTACTTCCAAGAGGTCAGACATCACACTCTATATTCTCTATTCTGTTAACCATTGCTAAGAATGCTGCGGAACATACCAAGGAAGTCCAAAAGAAAACATTTTGAAAACTAAAAGCCTGGTAATTTGGGATGAAACTCCAATGGTACACAGGGATCATTTAGAAGTTTTAGATAGAACTTTTAAAGATATAATGAGTTTGACAAAACTGGATAATGAACATCTACATTCAGGAGGAAAATTATGGTTCTAGGCAGACTCTAGGAAAATTTTACCAGTAATACACTAACTGTTGCGGAAGAAATAAATAATTAATAATTACATGCTTTCATTGATCCCATGTGAAGAAATGGCATATCTCAGTTCAGGCACAATAACACCGTCAAGAATTCAGAAGCTTAGTACGGAGTAATATTTAAACAATTCGAATTTTATGGTTGGAATAAGATTCAGGTTTCCAGTAATATAACACTCAGTGAAAATCGAAATGAATGCCCAAAAATATAAGAAACCAACAACCAGACAAGCAACTACTCATACATGATACATCAGAGTTCAAAACGAATTAACCTCCTCAAAGGCCAGAGCTAACTACAATTTATCCACACAAATTTACAGTTCAAAATTGACCCACAAGGATAAATTACCTTTTAGACATTTATTCAAACAGATTGCATACACCAAAATGAAACATAAAAAGCATTTAGAAAGAAATTAAAGGAATTACTTACCTGCTGGTTCAAATGCCACTGAGTTGAAAATTTTAATATTCCTTAGATACGATTTTCCCCATGGATTTATAGCTCCAACTTATCAAATGGCAACCGAAATGGGGAGAATTCCTATAGGACATGACGGGTCTAATAAGTAATAACTATGGAGTAGCTATTAATTCGTGATATGTACAAATATGTTTTTTTTTTTTTTTTTTTTTTTTTTTTTAAGAAGCAAAGATTAGCAAACAAACCTGGTACTCTTGCAATCTGGCTGCCGGCAAGTCGGAGACGGAGGGCGTGAGTGCGGCGACTAGCGATGCCTGCGACGTCCGACTAGCACAAATATGTATTTAATAAATTATTTTGGAGTGTTTTGGTAAATAGCTACTTATTTTTAAGTGTTTAGTAACCCAATCACACTCGCAAATAATGGTCAAACAAATCAAAATTGGTTGATAAACTTATTATATTATCAATAACTTTAGTAATTTTGTTTTTGAAGGTAGTAACTTTAGTAAATACCTTGTGGTCAAGCGGCACGGAGTGACTCTTCTAAATAGGAGGTTATGAACCAGCTTGGTTGGCGTGAATGGCCGTGCACTCTTATCCCTTAAGAGCAGTTGTTATATCGTGCATCGGGACGCACTATGTATTGTGCGTTCTAAAAATCTCCTATTTCGTATGTACATAATTACATAGTAAAATACACATAAATCTCTAACATAATACACATAATCTTAACATAAATTCTTAATATAATACACAAACTTTTAACATAGTACACATGAACTCTTGACATAATACACATCAATTCTTAACGTAATACATATAAACTCTCAGGACTCGCAATACATCGTGCACCCTGATGTATGATATAATTTGTCCCTTAAGAGAGGTCGGGAGTTCGAACCACCTCTTATATGGAAAAACTAATATTGTCAGTACTTTGCACTTAATTAGATTGGGCCGGTGCAGATGAAAATTAATCTAAATATGATACGGGCTTAAAGGTGACCTACAATTAAATACGGTCAAAGAACCATCGAGTACGCTACACATATCCCCTCAATAATTATAGCCAAAATTGCAGTTATTTGGTTATACCTTATAAATAGAATTTAAAGTCCATTTGGAAACCTAAAAAATAATTTATGAAAAATATTTTTTGAATTTTCAATATTTGAATATTCAAGAAAAATGAAGTTAAAGAGTTAATTCCATCATATGTCCATTGTCTTTTGTGACAATTTCAAGTTTAGTTGCAAACTATCATTTTTGTCATTTAATACTCCATACTATAATATTTTTTGACACTTTTGGTTCTTCCAGTAAGTCTTTTGTGACAATTCTAAGTTTAGTCCTAGACTATCATTTTTGTCATTTAACACCTCAGACTATAATACTTTGAACACTTTTGATCCTTTTCCAGTAAGTTTTTCGGCAAAAGTCTATTTTAAGCAATGGTATTTTTGTCCCAATACTTTTTTTATTTTATTTTTCTAATTTTCCTTCGTATGTGCGCTGGTTTTCTTCATACGATTGACTCAGCGGGCAAATGACAGTTGCAAAATCGCCGTTTTGGTTCATGGAAAATGTTTTCTAAAGGAAAATATTTTCCTTAAAGTGGAGGAAAATATTGTTTTATGGTGTTTGGTTCATGGAATTTATTTTTCATTGGAAAATGAATTTCTCAAATTTGAGAAAAACAAAATCCTTTATTAGACCAATGATTTTATTTTTCATGAAAGAAGGAAAGAAAAAATGATTCGAATTATCTATTTTACCCTTGTTTTCTTTCTTTCTTTTTTTTTTTTTTTTTTTTTTTGTTTTTTGTTTTTTGTTTTTGAAAACCCCTTATTTTCTTTTTTAATTATATTACTCTATTTTTGGTTTTGCTTGATATGTCTTTATACTTCGGAAAACATTTGCTTCATGTAGGCAATTTTTTGATCGGGTGACTCAACTGAGAGTTGTTATACAGTAAACCATAGTCTACACAATATTATATCAATTATGGTTTAATATAACAATCAAATAAAATTATAATAGAATTAAAATGATATTTTAATGTTGTTTAAATAATAATAGCGTAGGAAAAGCTGCAGAACTTTAAACAAACATACTGGAAAGAGTGTGACAATATAAGCTATTTTAGTTACTTATTACTTGAAGTAAAGTTCCATTTTTATCACATACTGGAAAGAGTGTGACAATATAAGCTATTTTAGTTACTTATTACTTGAAGTAAAGTTCCATTTTTATATAACATTATCAATATATCATCTTCTCCCCAAAAGCTCCCTCCTTTCCTGTTCTCAATTCACCATATCAATACCCTGTTGGGAACTCGCAACTACCAAATTCTGCAAACAAAAACAAATTGTAGTTTTGTTAAATAATACGGAGTAAGAATTAATTAATTCCATATTTGAGCCAAAAATGTGATTTTTTTTTTTTTTGTTTTGTTTTTTTGGTAAGAACACACCCAAATATTAGAATATTAAATCGCGTGGTAATGGATAATAACATACCACCTAACTACCTTTGTTAAACTAAGTATCGCTACGTGAAATGAGACTAATCAAATTTTATTGGTAATGTCACTCGTTAAGTTGGGTTAAAAAATTCCTTTTTTAAAAAAATATTAAAGAAAAATATTAACAGGGCATTTGGTTGGAGGAAAAGAATTACATGAGAAAACAATTGTAATTCCATGAAAAATGAATTACAAGAAATAACATAGCGTTTGGTTGAAGGAAATTTAAATTTAATTTCCACATAATTAGGAGCTGTCCCAAATAGAAGAGGAATTGGGATTGCTAGAACTAGGATTTAAGCAATTGAAACTCTTTCAATTATGAATATGCACAATATGTTAACATTTCCTGGAATACTTTGGCAACATCTTTACGAAGCAAAAGAGAGATTGGCCCTGTTTGGTAAAAAATTTGCCTATAGGTCAATTTTAGCTTATTTGACCACTATTAATTATTTAATTTAATTAAAATATCAATATAAATGTTTGGTTAATTAGCTTTTTGCAACTCCAAACTCCAAAAGGGTAAAATTCAAAAAGCTACTCCAAGCAATTTTTTCAATTAGCTTTTTAAGAAAAAAATTATATCAAACAACTATCAAACAACTATCAGCTAACAGTTAATTTACTAAACACTTTTCTACAATCAGCTAATGTTATCAACTATTTATATACTCTAATTAACACAATCAACTAACAGCTATTAACTAACAGCCATTTTACCAAACAGGGCCATTGTCTTGGCAGCACATCAAGTGGAATTACATCTCTATTACTTCAAAGAGGTCAGACATCACACTCTATATTCTCTATTCTGTTAACCTTTGCTACGAATCCTGCGGAACATACCAAGTTAGTCCAAAAGAAAACATTTTGAGAACTACAAGCTTTGATAATTTGGGATGAAACTCCAATGGTACACAGCCATCGTTTAGAAGTTTTAGATAGAACTTTTAAAGATATAATGAGTTTGACAAAACTGGATAATGAACTACATTCAGGAGGAAAATAATGGTTCTAGGCAGACTTTAGGAATATTTTACCAGTACCAAGAATTAAATAATTACATGCTTTCGTTGATCCCAGGTGAAGAAATGGCATCTCTCAGTTCAGGCACAATAACACCGTCAAGAATTCAGAAGCTTAACACAGTAATATTTAAACAATTCGAATTTTTTTTGTCAGAATAAGATTTAGGTTTCCAGTAATATTACACTCAGTGAAAATCGAAATGAATGCCCAAAAATATAAGAAACCAACAACCAGACAAGCAACTACTCATACATCAGAGTTCAAAACGAATTAACCTCCTCAAAGGCCAGATCTAACTACAATTTATCCATACAAATATACAGTTCAAAGTTGACCCACAAGGAGAAATTGCCTTTTAGACATTTCTTCAAACAGATTGCATACACCAAAAAGAAACATAAAAAAGCATTTAGAAATAAATTAAAGGAATTACTTACCTGTAGGGATGACAACAGGGCGGGGCGGGGGCAAGGAATGGAGTCCCCGTCCCCGCGGGGAATTTTTCAGGGGCGGGGATTCCCGAAAAAAAAAATTCTAAAAGTTGGAAAGAATTGACTTAAAATTTTATAAATTAACTCATGTCTGCAGGCTCAACCAAAACAAGAGAAAAGTCTGCACAACACAAATATTAATTCACTAGCATTTCAACCTAAATACTAATTCAATTTGATAAACTTGAATCTTAAATGACTCACACTAAAATTTTGATTATAACTAAAATTTTGAATGCAACAACTAGTTTTACCATTCTCCTGTTTCATTAATGGGAAGCCACAGTATAAGCCCCCCAATTTTCTTCAATTCCATTCTGATTTTCAACCCAGCTATAACCGGAATCCTTGACTACCTTCCCTTCAACCATCATTTCTCTAATACCCTTTGATTCATCCCATCTTCCTAGAGACGAATACATATTTGCTAGAAGCACGTAAGGGACAGAATTCTCTGGATCCAACCGGAAAAGCTCAGCCGCAGCTCTTCTTGCTAAACTTACATTCATATGAACCCTACATGTACTAAGCAATACCGCCCATATAATTGGGTCATCTTTGTATGGCATCTTATTTAGAAGTACTTCCACTTCATCAAACCGACCTGCACGACCCAAACAATCGATAATACAAGTGTAATGATCAACCAGTGGCTCCACTCCATATTCTAGCTGCATTGAGTGGAAAATTCTTATCCCCCGATCTACCAATCCTGAATGGGTACAAGCAGTTAATACAGCAATAATTGTTACACCATCAGGCTTATTTCCTGTTTCAATCATCTGCTCATATAAGAAAATAGCTTTATCTCCATATCCATTCTGTGCATACCCATGTATCATCTCATTCCAGGTAATAGTGTTTTTACAGGGCATCATGTCAAAGCAAAGACGGGCCCCATCTATATCACCACATTTAGAATACATATTGATCAGAGCACTTCCCACAACAACATCATTCGTATATCCACCTCTAGCTATCATGCCATGAACCTGAGCCCCCAATGCAAGAGAAGATAATCTTGCACAACTACTCAATACAGTTGCATAAGAGAATTCACTAGGCGGCATCCCCATTTGTAGCATTTCCTTAAAGAAGGAAAATGCTTCTTTGTCCAATGAATTAAGGTTCAAACCCGAGATCATAGAATTCCAACATACTATATCTAACTGAGGCAATCTCTTAAATATACATTTTGCCACTTTTACCCAACCACATTTTGAGTACATGCCAATAAGACTGCTAGCTACATATATGTCACCTGAAACATCATTTTTAAATGAGGCAGCATGAAGCTGCTTCCCATATTCCAAAAGTGCTTTTTCTGCACAGGATGTGAGTACGATAGCCAAAGTGGTTCGATCAGGTCGCTCATTTTGAAACTGCATTTTCCTAAAAAGGTTTATGGCTTCACAGTGATCCCCATTCTGTGAGTAGCCTGAAAGCATAGCATTCCATGAGCTCAAGCTTGGGCATGCCATTTTCTCAAATAGCCTACACCCAGCTTCAACATCCCCAGATTTGACACAAGCTGCCAGCATATTAATATAAGTAACCTCATCAGGTTCATAACCACAACTCTGCATCTTTTCCATGTATTCCATTGCTCTTTTCTTTTCATAGTTCTGGCCAAATCCGCCTATCATAATATTCCAAGAAACAGTACTAACTTCAGGCAGGTCCCCAAAAAGTACTTCAGCACTGTCCATATCCTTGTTTTTCACATACATGTCAAGTAACGAGTTACACAAGCGAAGATCACTTTCAAATCCAAGTTTAACAACAAGACTGTGGACTTGTTTCCCAGGCACATTACACATATACCAATCATTAATGTCATCAATAACAAAGTCCCTGCCATCACCTTTAGCACAAACTCTGAGAACACTGGACAATGAAACAGAATCAATCCTAAACCCATTCCGCTGCATCAACCTAAACATGTTAAAAGCCTCTTCGACTTGATCAATCTCAACCAACCCCGACATCATTGCTGTGAAGGAAACCTCGTTACGCTCTGGCAAATCTCTAAACACATTGATTGCATCCCCACCACATCCACATTTTACATACATACTTAACAATGCATTTCCAACGTAGACATTTCTGTCAAGACCATATTTTACAGCCAAACCATGACTCACTCTCCCAAACACCTTACCCCTCAACCCACCACAAGCACTCAAAACGCTCGCCAAGGTGATATGACTTGGCTCAAAACCACCTGAAGTCATCATACAGTAAACCTCCAAGGCTTTGCTTTCATACCCATTTCGAGCTAAAGCGCTAATCATAGTGTTCCACGAGACACTATTCCTCTCAGGCATTTTAACAAACAGTTCGGTAGCATGCTCTAACTGGCCAGCTTTACAGTGGGCAGTCAGCATCGCATGCCAAGAGTATATGTTAGTTTGAGGCATTTGATTGAACACGTGGCGTGCAGTCCGAGTGAGACCACATTTCGAGTAAAACTCAGTAAGGCGGTTGCCGAGAAAAGTATCGGAAGAGAGGCCAAGTCGGACGATATGGCCATGGAGAAGTTTGCCGGCGTTGCGGGCTTTATTATCTATGCAGGTTTGCAAAAGGTCCGCTATATACGAAGCGTTCGCCTTGGCTTGCATTATTCAGAATTTCAGATTTTGAGATGCATAGCCATCTCTGTACACCATTATTCAAAATCCCCCACAAAAAAAAAAAGTCAACAAAGAATTTTAAATGGACCAATTTAATTTGAATGGAGTCAAATTAATTAGCACTTCATGGAGATGGAGAGAGGGGAAGAAGAAAAGAAAATGCAGCCAACCTGTCTGCTTACTTCTGTCACATCGATAACAAAAAGTAGAGATTCTTCTTCTTGAACCAGATAATGTTGCAATCATCCTTGCTTCAACTCAATCAGCTATAGAAACAATTGATCTAATGTGAGATAAACACACTATATAGCATCACAATTGACTCCATACATACACACATACTACATTATTCACATGAATTTTTCCAGGTAATGCAAAACTGGATAATGAACAACTACATTCAGGAGTAAAATTATGGTTCTAGGCAGGCTCTAGGAATATTTTACCAGTAATACACTAACTGTTGCGGAAGAATTAAATAATTACATGCATTTGTTGATCCCAGGTGAAGAAATGGCATATCTTAGTTCAGGCACAATAACACCGTCAAGAATTCAGAAGCTTAATACGGAGTAATATTTAAACAATTCGAATATTTTTGTCGGAATAAGATTTAGGTTTCCAGTAATATTACACTCAGTGAACATCGAAATGAATGCCCAAAAATATAAGAAACCAACAACCAGACAAGCAACTACTCATACATCAGAGTTCAAAACGAATTAACTTCCTCAAAGGCCAGAGCTAACTACAATTTATCCATACAAATTTACAGTTCAAAGTTGACCCACAAGGAGAAATTGCCTTTTAAGACATTTCTTCAAACAGATTGCATACCCCGAAAAGAAACATAAAAAGCATTTAGAAAGAAATTAAAGGAATTACTTACCTGCTGGTTTCAAATGCCACTGAGTTGAAAATTTAATATTCCTTAGATACGATTTTCTCCATTGATTTGTAGCTCCAAATTAGGGGTGTAAACGAGCTCGATCCTGGCTTGGCTTGAGCTCGAGCTCGGCAATTTTCGAGCTCGGCTCGACCACCTCAATTGTTCGATTATTATTACCTGACCGGAGGTGGCGTGCACTTAGAATTAGTTAGAAATTAAGCTAAGCAAAGCAAAGCATAGTAGCATACACTTAGAATTAGTTAGAAATTACCTGACCGGAGGTGGTGTGCTACGAACTTACGAAGGGGAAGGCGTTACTGCAGGTTGGACTAGTGCTCATCGGCAGGGGTCTGGAGTTGGCGATGGCGGTTTGGAGGTGTCGACTCGTGACGGCGGCAGTTCGCGAAGTCTCTCAGAATTCGCGACTCGCGAAGACTACCTGCCGTCTGCGTCTGCCTTTGGCAGATTAGATATGTTTTTTACTGTTTTAAGGATTTAGATTTTGTGTTTAAATTTTATATATTGTAATATTATATAGCAAGGGAGCGACTCTCCTCTTTTACATCTCTACTCAAAATTATCAAATGGCAAACGAAATAGGGAGAATTCCTATAGGACATGACGGTAATTGTTGGTTTTTGGGTTTTCGGGCCCAGGGAGGTCCAACACAATCTTGGTCGGTAGATTCACCTTTCACATGCGGCTTATAGAAAAATAAATAGAACGAATATAACTCAATGCTTTTTGTACGTGGAAACCGAAAGGAAAACCACGGGCCTTTTTGGGCGGTGCCAAGCCTAACTCCACTATGTATTTTGTAGGTGTTTTTGTACATATTGTAGGGCTATTTTGTACATGTAATATGGATATATTGTGTGAGGAGGGAGCTATACTTGGTACATTGAGATAGAGTAGGCTTCTTGACGCGTGGAAGAGTGGTGGAGTCTTCCCATATGGAGTCTTCTTCATGTGGTCTTCTTTCTTGGATGAATGGAGAGTGGTTGTGGAAGAGTGCATCTTCTTTGGGAGAGTGATGAAGCCTTTTTGGTGATGAAAGAATAGTGAGTGGTAGTATTTGGGAGGACTGAGTGGTAGTATTTGGGAGAGTCCTCCCACATGTAGATGAATGAGTGAATGGATCCCCCTTTCTTCTTGTCTTCCCCTCCTTTTTATAGCTAACCCATCCCAAAAGTGTCCGTTGGACATTTAGTAGGGTAGTGATGGGTGTTAATTAGGGGGTTATGGATAATAATAATAATAATAATAATAATAATAATAATAAGATGGGGTAATAAGTGGGAGGTTAGGAATGGTGGGGTAGTAAATAGGACTTTAAGGGTAGATAATTAGGAATTTAATAGGGGCTAACGGCTAGTTTTTGGCCGACCCTCTACCCATGCCGATCCCTCACTCGCGCCCACTCCCGGGTCGAGCCGACTCCTCGGCTTGGCTCGTATCTCTTTTGGGCTTGCTCCATTTTCTTCTTGGGCTTCCCTTCTTTGTCTGGGCTTTATCTCTTTTCTTCTTGGGCCCCGAGCCCACGGGGTTCACACCCCATCAGTAATAAGTAGCTATTAATTCGTGATATGCACAAATATGTGTTTAATAACTTATTTTGGAGTGTTTGGTAAATACATGTTAGCTAGCTGTTAGGTTTGTGAGTTCAACTGATTGATAGTATAAGCTTATCGTATAAAGATGTTTAGTAAATTAGCTATTAGTTAATAACTGATTACATGCAAAATGATTTTTTAAAAAAACTAATCCAAAAAGTTATTTTAAACATCTTTTTGAGTTTTAACATTTTGAAATAATAAATTGTCGTAAAAAGCTAATTAGTCAAATACTCATATTAGCTATTTATCCAAATCAAATTATTAATAATGATCAAACAATTCAAAATTAGCTAATAAACTATGTTACCAATAACTTTAGTGTGTGTATAGTATATAATTGAAGGTAAAACTTTATTAAATTTCGTATATAATTTTAGTAAATTTATAAACTGTCAATAACTTTTTGTATTTAGTATAATTCAAGTAACTTATAGCAAATTTTATTTTTAGTCTTTGATTATTGTGACATTGTCATATTTAATTTTATTTTATTATGGTCTTGTTTGATAAATGGTTGTTAGCTATTAGCTGATTGGGTTAATTAGAATGTATAACTAATTGATAACGTGTAAAAAAGTGTTAGGTAAATTAACTGTTAGTGTCTTGACAAAACGTGGAGGCAAAAGGTTTTAGTCCCCTCTTGGTGGTCTGAGAAAGAGAATGCAATGATTATGATTAAGAGTACATACATCCATTCTTTGTGTAACTCTGCTGTTTAACAACCACCCATTTCAATCATGAATGTAATCTATTGAGTAATCAAGGGGGTAGCACTTGCACTTATAGTGTGATGGTCCTCTTCTTCTTGTCCTATTTTTAGGTTGAACAGTACATCCACTCATTTTAGTGTTGTTATAATGAAATTAGTATATGTGAAAAAATGAAACTAAAAAATAGAACTTAAACAATAACATATATTGTCAAATGAATATGAAGTGTAATTAAAATTATATTTCAATATTACTATAATTAAATCAATGTGTGTCTACATTGTAATAAAATCAGTAACATTCAAAAAAAAATTAATTTGTGTGAAAAATGAAACTAAAAAAAATATAGTTCATACAATAACGTATATTGTCAAATTAAAATGATATTTTAGTATTTAGTATAATGAAACTAGTGTGCATAAAAAATAAAATTAAAAAACAAAACAATATAATCAAATAAAACTAAAAATGTAATTAAAAGGATATGTCGTCATTTGACTTTATAGTCGATGATACTACATGAACCACGATCTACACTAAAATACTTTACACTCCTAAATTTATCATGTAATATCAATTTCAAACTAACGCCAATCTTAATCCCCTTAATTAATAGTATTTATCTCAACAATTTTTTTTAATAATATCAACCCTATTACTATTTTCCAACTATAGATGTCTAACAAATCTTTGCCTCTTAGACAAAGATATTATTTTATATGCTAGGACCACATTGTCCTCCGAGTAGTACAAAAAGCTGCACAACTTTATGCAAACATGCTATAAGGGGCCGTTTGGTTCACGGAATGTCAGATTACCTTAGGGAATGTTGGATTGCTGGGAATGTTAGATTCCTGTGTTTGGTAAAAACTGAGATATATAATATAAACATGTTTGGTTGAAGTATTGTTATTTATGTTATAATGATTATTTTACTTTAATACCCTCAATATATTTTAATGCATTTCAATATTCCAATGCATGTAACCATGCAAAATTTGATATATATATATATATATATATATATATATATATATATATAATTAATTTTCATTCTTTCATCCGAAAAGTTGACTCGTGACTTCATACATACAGATTCTTTAATTTCTACAAATTCAAATGTGGCTTCCACAAAGTTGATTTTTCATGTTAAGCAAAGTGAACTTAGCTTGCTTGCTTTAACCGAAAGGTTAATTTTGATTTTTTTATTTTTTCGGTAAAAAAACAAAGCAATGTGATGGAAAATGAAGGGCAAAGTTAGTAAAATGTCAAGGGAATCTTTTAATACCTAAGAATTCTAAGGGAATCACATTCCCTTCAAAAGAGGGAAAAAGATGATGTGGAGGGTAAATTTTATTCCATGGGAATGTTGCATAACTCCAACCAAACATAGGAATCTTATATAACCAACCAAATATAACCTTGGTTATCTTAGATAACCCGAACCAAACGCCCCCTAATAGTGACAATAATAAATGTCAACTTATCTTTCAAGCTACTTCAAGTGAAAGAGTAGCAGACAAGAAAACTGCGCCTTTCGTTCACACTTCAACTCCCACACAACCTTGCTGTTTGGAACTAATAACTTGGAGTTAAAGTTGCAACTTGCATCTACTACATTTATTTCAAATTTTCCATTTTTATTTCAACGTCAAATTTATTTAAACAGGGTAAAAATCTTATATCAAGATCGTCTTAGGAAAATAATTATGAATCAAGAGACCATTTTCATAACACACAAGTTATAAAAACAAAAACTCGTATTAAGTATAAAATCCAGATACAAAGGCCAAAATAGTCAATAACCACCCTAACCTAATCAACATATGCAATATAGACTAAAAATGTACTAATAAAGAATTCAACCACCCCAATATAACATTATCAATATATCTATCATCTTCTCCCCCAAAAGCTCCCTCCTTTCCTGTACTCAATACCCTGTGGGGAACTCGCAACTACCAAATTCTGCAAATAAAAACAAATTGTATTTTTGTTAAATAATAATGCATTCCGTCATTTTAGTACCAATAGGAATTAATTAATTCCATATTTGAGCCAAAAAATTGTGATGGATTTAGCCATGTCAAATTTTGCGATAAGAACGTAACACACCAAAAATATTATAATATTAATTCGCATGGTAATGGATAATAACACACCACCTAACTACTTTTGTTATGAAATGAGAATAATTAAATTGTATTGGTAAGTTGGGTTTTAAAAAAAAAAAAAAATTTAATAAATTTTTTATATTAAAGAAAATATTAATTGTTGGGAATAAGAGATGCTTACTGGGAGGCTGGGTGACAACGTAGGCAGCGCCACCGAAGTAGCACGAGCCAGAGGCACGTGCGTTCTTCTGGTAGTAGCTGTTGAAGGCGTAGGAAGCGTGTGCCACAAGGGTGTTAGGATTGTAACACGTGGACTCGGGTTGAATCGGACGGCAATCGGCTCCTCCCTGGCCGCAAGCGTAGTCCAGTGCAAGCTGGAGCTTCTCCGTCCCGACGTCGCCGTTGGCCACGCACCACGTCTGCCCCGCCGTGGTGGTCGACACGTCGCCGCCGCCGCCGGACGGCGCCGGAGTCGGGGGGACGACCTGAGCTTTACTCCCGTTATTCATGGGGCCGTTCGCCAGGGCTGCTAGCGTCAGCGGGACGTCATAAACCTTTTGCTCGTTGGGATAGAAAAGGCCGTAGTTTTTCTCGGAGGTGGGCCCGGGCTTCTGGTTCTCATTGAAGAGAGCGAATAAATAGACGTTAAGAGGTTCGTTGGGCCTCAAGGGGGTCCCACCTCCAGTGAGAACTCTCCGGACCAAATTCCCGTTGTACGCCGCTGCATTCACGGCGCTCGCGCCGGCCTCCTTCTCGTCGCCCTTCGACGGCCAGCCGGTCTCGGAAACCACCACCTTAACGTCGCCGGCGCTGACGGCGTTCATGGCGGCGAAGACGGCGTCGAGTTGCGCCTCGAACAGGCTTTTGTAAACGAGGCCATTGTTGGGGTCCACCACGCCTTTGTTATCTCTGAACAGAGTGTAATCGAGGGAAATCGTGTCCGTATTAGCTTCATAGGCGAAGAAGGGGTACGCGTTCACCATTAGAAACGAACCGGTTTGCTTGAGGAAACTCAGCATCGGCTTAATCACCGGTTCGACCAGCTCCGGCTTGAACGAACCGGAGGAAGGAGGGTACGAAGATTGCAGAGCGCTGAGGGCGATGGGGGAGGAGACTTTGACGGAGGAAGCGACGCCGTATTTGGCCAGAGAAGCGTAAACGTTCTTCATCGCCGGCACGAGGTACGCGGTGGTGTTAGCCGGGTCGACGAACACTTCATTGCCGACGGCGACGGCGTCAATGATGGACTTGTACGGTACGACGTTGGACTGGACCCACCCGTCGGTGAAACTCTGGCTAGCCGCGGCGGACGAGAGCTTTTCGTTGGGGAGCGCGACTGTAGTGGCTATACCCGACCCGGAAAGCGCGTCGAGAACCGTGGAATCGGCATCATAGAGCTTCACTCGGGTGATTCCCTGACTCTTGAGCAACTGAACAACCTTCGCCGGAGAAGGGAGATCGTCGGCGATACGGCCGTAGTTGATTCCGATGACGCCGGAATCGGAGACAGAGTGCCGTAACAAAGAGAGAAAGAGAATGCAGAGGACAAAATATCTTGGAAACGCCATGTTTGAAGGAGAGATTGATGAACGTGAAGACTGATGATCGGCTTTAAGGCAATTATATAGAAATTATGGAAGAGAGAGGTGAAAAAAGGTAAGAAATTAAGAAGGGTGGGGTGGGGGGTGAGGGTGGTTGAGGAAATTTGGTGATTAGTGGGGTGGCGTGATGGTAGTGGAGGCCACTTATGCATTAAACATGGGTAATTGCCTAATTGCAATGCAATTTGCAAAGATAAAAAGGAAGATAATTAATACCCACTTATGTAACTTCCATATGTAATTATTTTTAATTATCTATCTCTATTAATTACTAAACATTAGTAGGATATTTATAAGATGATAGTAATTCAATTCGATGTTTTGTTTAGATTATATAAAATAATCATTAATGTTAAAACTTTATATGTATTTGTTTGATTCACAAGTAGTTGAAATTTCTTAAGTTGATGTGAGATTTCCAAAATTAATTACTATTTTATATTTGTATATTCTTTAAATTATTATGTTTTGTGAGATTTTTAAAATTATAATATTACCTAAAAATAATTTGTAAATCAAATTCTAGTCAGACAAAATTTCAATAAACTTCTTATAATTTAAGGGTTATATTGACGAAGAGAATGAAGAATAAGAACTAAAATACTTGGGGAGTGAGGGTAAAAGTGAAATTAAATATTGTTTTGTTTTTATTGTGATTTATAGATATACTTATTGTCAGTAATTCTATAATTATTATTCAAAAATACGTTTTGAGTGAAGCGTGTCTTATAATTCTATAGATAGAGCTGTCTGATGGATACCGAGTATGGGAACCGGATCAAACCACCTAAATGTCAAATCATCTAATTATTACCCCATTATCACACATTTATTTCCCTATTAATTACCCAACAAACACCCTTAAAATACATTTATTTCCCTATTAATTACCCAACAAACACCCTTAAAATCCCTTCATTATTTTGATTTACCATAACCCCTTATCTCTCTTACGTTCTCTCAAACAAAACACCAACCCCATCTCAAATAATTAACACTAATCACCTTATTAAATTAAACCACCCTTTATTACCCATAATTCCCCACTAATTACCCACCAACGAAAGGTTGAATCCCCAACCCTAATGCCTCCCACACTCCGACCTGGGTTCAGCAGACAGGGCACAAAGAAGCCCACTTTAGACATAATTCCCACACTGCAGCTGTCAAAATTTGAACATTGGTCTCATCTCACAAATACTGCCCACTAAACCATTGAACTAAGCTCGCACGAGTTACTATAATCTTGAACCACCACTCACTTGGCTATTATAAAAGGAGATTCAAGAGCACAAATGGGGGGATGACATATTCACCATTCTTCATATTAGAGAACTCTTCCCCACACTACTCTTCATCTTCATGCAAGAGGAAGATCACTCTTCTTACATCACTAGAAGGTTTCATTTATCCATTTTTCTTTCCATAAGAAGGCTTCATCCCTGTATACAAAATAGCTACACAACAACAAACACAAATATGTATACAATATCCTACAAAATAGTAAATTTACGCTTGGCACCGCCCAAAAAAGCCCGTGATTTTCCTTTCGATTTCAACATAAAAATCACCGTGTCATATTCTTTTCCTATCTATTTTCTATATCCTATTTTCCGGCAAACCAGACTCTCTATTACTTTATATTTTTCGATGATTCAACAACTAAACCCGGTTGTGTTGGACCCCCGGTGAACTTTTCAAAAGTTCTAAAACCAACACCGTCAAAATGGGATTTTCCCGCTGAGTCTAACCGCCCTGTCCCACCGTAGGTAGGGGCGGGTCCATTGAATGTTGAACCCACCAAGAGGCGGGTTTTTTTTAGCAAGCTACGCATGGATCATGGGCCTAGGCATGGTGGGTCAAGCGGGCAACAGGTTTAGCCTGCGGCTCGCTACTATTAACAAATTTAAAAAACTTAACTCATTAATTTGAGCGCGTCAAACTTCGGGCTAAGTTTTATTAGTGGACACTCTCTTAGATTTTTCCATAGCCACTTAAATTACCCCGACTAGACTTCATATGAGGGAGATATGATCAAAACACTATCAACATGTTATTGGACAAATTCCTCATGACGTGTCCGAATGTTCTGATTTTTCTGTATCAATGCATTCTAAATCTGTAAAAGCATTGAACATAAAAGTTGTAGAGGACTTCATTATCTTTCCTTTGACACTTAAATCATTTCATTTCGACTTCGTATGAGTGAGATGTGACTACAATCCTCCAGCATGTCGCAAAAAAAAAAAAAAAAAAAAAAAAAAAAAAAAAACAAGAAAAAAACAAAACAAAAACAAACAAACAAAGAAAAAAACTGGCGGGCCAACCCGCCTCACCTGCGAGTTTTGGCCTGGCGGGACAGGCTGACCAACTTCCAAGCCCGCCCTACCGAGGAGACGGGCTTTGGCTCATCCTGTCTCGGGAAACTGTTTTAACAGTTCTAAAAATATAGAGCTTCCTCAGAATTCGAATTTGGAATGATTACCCTTTTATGTTTTTACTAGGACAATTTAACTTTAATGGTTCTAAAAATCAATGCTCAATGAAAGCCCCTAGATTACAGTTCTGCACAGAATTTCATTTCTTCCTTTCGTTTTACATTTCTGCTACCTCATAGTGCGCTACTTTGACTGCAATAAATAAAACTTACGAGCATTTGTTTGCAAGAAGAAAATTAGAGGAAAAAAACTTAATTAGAGATTTTATGAGCGAGGAAAAGTGTGGAATAATTAGAAATTTAAATTTGATTGTTTGATTTGTATGAATAGAATTAGTGAGAATAGTATTTGGTATCTTTGGGAAGTGAAAATGAATAATAATAATAATAATAATAATAATAATAATAATAAAATTTATTATTATTGATCTTAAACGACAAGTAAATTTGTGTAAAAATTATAATAGAATGCAGTTGTTATTTGTATTTTGAAATATGTCCACATTTTAAGATTGATTGTTCACTTTAGATATAAATTTGTATTAATTACTAGAGCTTATTTAATAGCTCCCAAATTCTATTAACAATGCAATTTGAGATTATACTGAGGGAGACATGGGATTCTAATTTTGTGAAAATAAAACATAATTTAGATTATAAAATAGAATGGTAATTTTGTATCAAGGGTATTTATTTTTATTCTCATGACCATGGAATTTAAAATATCATGGGGAAACATGAGATTCCACTTCAATTAAGATGATGAAATTGCAATTCCCTCTAATCAAATAAAGAAATTTACTTGCTTTTTAAATTAAATACGAGTAGAATTATAATTCCCTCCCACCAAACGGGTTGTTATTGTTTACACTTTTTCCCATTTTCAGAAGTCGATTAACAAAATGGAAATAATCAAAAGTTAATAATATAAAGTTTGATTATTTCTATTGAAACTATGAGGTGCAAATATTTTTTAGGATCTTTTTTTTTTTTTTTTTTAGGGAAGGAGATACTCACATATACAAACTATTACATCAAATGTGACAGGATCTCTTATATTTTAAGAAAATAAAATAGATGTGCATTTTTTTTTAATGTGGTATTTTTTGTCAACCTGAGATAAATAAATGCTAGGGGAATAACCGTCTTAGATCATGCTATGATGATTTTATTGGGGACCCGATTTACCATAAGACGGTATGGATGTACAAAATATGGGTAAAAAATAGTAATTTTATTGTTTGAGGCGTTCGGTCCAAAAAAAAAATATACACAATGGCCGAGACAACATCTTATAGATTAAATAAATAATAAATACTATGTTCAAGTAGAGGACTATGAATAATATTGTACTGATGAATTAAACCCTAGTATTGCCGTAGGAATTAATAATCACAAGTCACTGGACCAAGAGGGATGTAAGGATGAGGTGTGAGAGGGCCTTTAGGGTTAGGGATTCAATCTTTTGGGTGAAGAAGATATATGAAATGTTAAGACCATAATGTCTTAATAAGAGGCAAGACATCCTATTTATAGTGTAGGAGCCTCTTTCATACATTGAAGTGTGTGGACTAAGTTGCCTTCCATAAGTTGCCTTCCATGAGTAATTGAGAAATATTCAATTCCTTAATAATAATAATAATATATTATACGTTTTGGTTTTCAAAATATCATTACTGGAAATTATAGAATTTCCGACTACGTGAAAGTGATTTTAAATCAAGTCAAAAGTCTTGTTTCGATCACTTTTGGTATTCGGAAAAAGCTTTGTTGCTATTTCCAACCACTTTTTGCTTTCGACTTGATTTAAAATCACTTTCAAGTGGTCGGAAATTTCATAATTTCCAATAATGTATGTACCAAAAATCAATGAATTTCTTTCGTTATAATTAATTATACATAGAGTGTTGGGTTTATTTTGTTATAAATGGTTTTCCATTTTCTGCTACTCCACAATATAATACGTAGTATATGTTTTTTAGTTTGTGTCGACATGGGAAACATATTAGATGTTGGTGACCCACCTTTAAGGATTTCCTTAGATAACCAAGACTCAGACACGTACTAGTGCTGTTGTTGTTAAAAGTATACACATGAATTATACTTGTTATGAAAAGATCACAGTTAATTTCATTTTTTATTTTAGATTTACAGGTGATTGTTCATTTGTAGTCTTCTTTTTTTCTTTTTCAAAACATTCTTATTTGATTCTAGTATTATTGTGGCATGATCATTTTTTATCCTCTGTCAAGAAAATCACTAAAATGCCATTAAATACAATAACATTTTGATTTTTTTTTATATAAAGTAGGTTGACCCACTACATTTTTTATGTTTATTTTTTTTTTGAAAAAAAAAATCAAAATTGAAAACTGAAATGCTTTTGTATTTGATGGAATTTAAACTGTTTTGTTGATGGAAGACTAAAAATAATCGTGCCACAATAATAATTGGAACAAAATTGAATGTTAAAAAAAAAGGACTAAGGGGGTGTTTGGTGAATGACTGTTGATTAGTTGATAGATATTAGCTGATTACATACAATTGACTTTCTCAAAAAGCTAATAAAAAAGAGCTTTTTGAGTTTTAGCATTTTGAAGTAAAAAATTGTTACAAAATGCTAATTAATCAAACACTCATATTGATTGTTTAACCGAATTGAATAGCTAATAGTGATAAAATAAGTTAAAATTGACCGATAAACTAACTATTTTACCAAACAGGACTTAAAAGTGGATTGTCACTTATAAATCTAAGACTAAGATAAAAAATGGAATTAACTAAAATTTAGGTCCTAAGACGAGATTTACCAAATATATATATTCGAAACTGTAGGTTCCGTTATCACCTAAAAACATGTCTCTTGTATGTGATATACTTTACAACCAACATAGTTTATGTTGGCTTATTGGATACGGGATATGTATAAACACTAGCAAATAAAATATAACAAAAACAATATTTTTTTGAATGCTAGTGATTTTATTACAATGTAGTATTGGTTCATAATTACTTTCTCAACCTACTGAAATACAAAGAGCCAATAATGTCTCTATTGATGCTCGAACTCACAACCTCTCATATGGGAGTCCAACCCGAGTTTCATCTATGTACAAGGTGCTTAGCACAAAAATAATACTTTAGTTTAAAAAACTTTTCGCTTTTACTCTCACTTGTATTTAAATTTTACTTAAAAAGAAAAGAATGAATAAAAATCATGACATCTTTATATTAATAAGCAATTAAAACATGTCATATTATAGGAAATAGAAAATAATGGTTTAGAATAGGAATATATATAGAATTACTCAAAATATAATGAGTGTTCAATCCGTATTATTTTTTAGGACAAAATATAATGATTGATTAATAATTAAGTTGCAAGATATAATGGGGGAAAAAAATCCGATTACAAAATGTTAATTATTAGAATAGTTGTAACATTATCGTTTAATTGGCGGGTAGTGCTTGACATTTGGTACCTAAATGTCTCATATCCGAGGGATTGGTACGGGATGAGAAAAGTCGTCGAAAAAATGGAAAACGTAATCATGAAATAATTGAAGGATGAAGAGTGGATATGTTAATAAGGGCGGTTTTATAATTTAGACGTTATTTTCAGCAATATGAACGTTAGACTTAGCAGCTGCAGTTGTTGTTTCAAACAGTGATCACATGCGCTGTGGACGTCGGCTGTCATATCCTCGTACAGACATACCACTGTTTCACGCAACGGCTCGTAAACATATATATATATGCATCACTCCGCCAGCATGTGCAGCTCAGTTGATCATAAAAGTGAAATTTGAAAAGAATAATCAGAGATCGAGTCTCACTAGCGACAGTGTGGAAGCAACTTCTCAAAGTGAGTGGAATTTCTTGTGCACAGTAAGCAAAAGTCTAGCCTATGTGGTTCAGCTGAGCTACCATAATATTACATCCTCTCATATTTGGTCGGACGGAGGTGTGGGGACCCTACTCCATTGTTTCACACACCCCAATGGCCATTCTCATTTTTAGATAATCATTAACCAATATGTCAATATAGATGATGTGTAGAAGTGAAAAGGAATATAACCCACAAAATGAGAAGGATTAAAGAAAACATATGATAAGAGATTATAATGTGAAGCGGAAGAGTTAAACTCATAAAATGAGAATATAAGGAGAGAGCCCTTGTGAATTTCCTTAGAAATAATTAGGAGTAAATGGGGACATTAATGGGTCGTATAGGCTGAATAAATGCCCTTCTCGGGCCATCATGTAAGGAGTTCAAATATTTTTTCAGCATTAAATGCTTCCTTGTTCTTGATTCCTCTATTTCTTAAAGTTTTTTTTTTTTTTTTTTTGAAAAAATAAAAAATAAAATTCTACGATTGTGTTGACTAGCTGGTTGATTACTTATTAGTCACGAAATTAGCATTGTCTATTAATATTCTTAGTTTGTGTCAGCAAAGATCACAATACTACTTTTACTAAAAACACACATTCGAGTAACAATAACAATCTTTCCAATAAATCAAAAATAAAAACTTGTGTGCGACCGTCTCACGGATCTTTGTTCGTGAGACGGGTCGGGTGGTAGACAATTGGGTGAGATGCTCAATGAATATATACTTTGTAAGTATCACAATTTCAATTATAAGTATCACAATATTATATTTATCATTAGTAACAATCAATTTTATCCTAAATAGTATCACAATTTCACATATAAATATTACAATATCTATTATAGGTAACAATTTATTTATTTCAAAATTCATAAGTAACAAACAATTATTATAGATTCGACCCGTCTCACAAATTAAGATATGTGAGACAGTTTCACACAAAAGACTCTAAAGTCAAAATGGAAATTTTGAATAATTATGGAAAGAAGAATGGGTTGGGATGGTACTAGTTATGGAGGTGGAACTAACACTAGTAAGGTAGATGTGAATTCTTTCATTTTCTGTATCTGTTGAACTAACACATTATGTACTGTTTGCTTGAGTGATTGGATCAAACTCCAACAAATTCATATAGATTAAACTAATTAAAACTTCAAAACAATCCTTGTTTATGGCATCTAAAATTAGTTGACACTAGGATCAAATTAAACCTATGATTTCCCATTTGGAAGAGTAATTTTATGCCACTAGACCGCAAGGCTATTGACAAAAATAAAAAATTATTCACTATTTAGAAAATAAATTTAAATTCAATTTATGCTAATAACCATTTTTATTGAATCTATAAAAATCTGCAATAGTTCTTCATTTAAACATTTTAGATTATACAAAATATTAATAAATAAATAAATAATGTTAATTGTATGTAATGAGAGTGTTTAGATACTTATAGATGAAGTTAGGAAATGTGACAAAATAGTCAAATACCATACGCGGAGGTGCAATTGGTACGTTAAGTTTGGACGCATGTAATTGTAATTGTCCATTTGTCCTGGGAATTCAACCATATACCAACTAATCCTTTTCTATTAATTAATTTGGTGGTTTTTGTTATCAGTTAATCTAGCTAAGCTATTTCTCAGGTTCATTTGTCTCTAGAGAGAAAGAGTATCATAGTAGGTGGAGTGTGTGTATTGTCAAATTTAAACTCGACTTTTCAACCATATGTTTAAGATAGTTAAGTCAACAAATCCTATTCAAATCCTCTCTTTGGAATTCAACCTCGTAAGATACTTCTAAGGTGATGCATCGATCCCACAAGGTTTCAGATGATCATCTAAGTTAATATATAAGATTTAAATCAAATTTACACTTATGAGCTAACTTTTATGGTGTAATTAAGGTCTGGGTTCATAACTATCAGGTCAGTTAGTAGGGTGGTGCCGTACTGCGGTGGTGTATTGGTTTTATTTTTAGATTGTTACTACTTACTAACCATTTTCTTTCCTTTCCTTTTTTTTTTTTTTTTTAATTTTATTTTTTTTATAACTATATTTTTTAAAAAATTGCAAAGAATGATTCAAAGTGAATGTTTAGGTTGGGAGATTTGATTGATTACACTACTTACTGCATTATATTGGCTTTAATTAGCTGCAGATTACATTAATATTGTTTCACACTCATTGGTTCTGCATTCAAAAATAAAATCATTTTTTTTCTTGAGACCTCTCATTTGAGGGATCACAACTATGCCGTTTGACCACAAAGTCTTTAGCGTCAATAAAATCATTGAAGTATTTGTGATTGTTAAAGATTTTGACTCATTTTTTTTCTTGAGACCTCTCATTTGAGGGATCACAACTATGCCGCTTGACCACAAAGTCTTTAGCGTCAATAAAATCATTGAAGTATTTGTGATTGTTAAAGATTTTGACTAAGTTGTTGTTGTTGTTCTCAAAAGGTTGAATCGCCAACCCCAAGGGGCCTCTCATGATCTGACCTGACAGAGCATCTAGGAAGAGCCCCCCCTCACTTTGAAAGATTGTTCCCTCATTGCCGCTGGTAAGACTTCATCTCGGATCATTGTTCTCAAACTTCACTCATGTGACCAATTGAGCTGCCCCGATTTTGACTAAGTTATTTTGTATTTCATTGACGTAACAGAGAAATAGAACCAAGATTCCAGGAGCATAATGCCAACATGCATGCTATTACTATAACATGAAAGGTCATCAATTGGAACATATTGTTACAAGTTAAGGTGTCATAAAAGAAGAAGAAGAAGAAGAGCAACTATATATTGTCACCAAAATGTTGGAAACCTACAATAAAGAATGTCTAGATAGATAAGGAAAGAAGATCTTGATGAGTCATGTTAGTGATAGAAGAAAGAGATATGGTCGGGGAGGAGTTGTTAATACCCTATTCATTTCAAGTGATCTACTATAAAGTTTTTTATTTGTTTTTTAATCACTGTATTTAGTTATAAGTTTAATTTTTTTTTTTATATATATAAGTTTAATCCAAGGTTGTGTGCGTAACTATATAGGGATGTGCCATGGATCATGGTCACCTTATAAAGTGGACCAGTGACATAAGGTACATTTTTATTATATTAAAAGTATATTTTTAATATATTAAATGTTCATTTTTTGAATACTAAAAATATTTAAACTATCAAATAATGTACAAATGTTGCGTAAATAAATAATGTACATTCGTGACAAAAAGGAGAGGTAAACTACATTAGGAATCTATGCAAAAAGCTCAACCAAGAGGATGTCGATAAGAATTGAATTTATAACTTTTAAGTACAAGAGTCATGCTCCACCACACAACCACTCCTTTCGAGACAAACATGATTTAGTTATTTGTAAAATTGACAATTTATTTGGCATAACTATTTTTGTGTACTTTGTATTTATTCTATTTCATGGATGATATATTTTGAGAGAACAAAAATAGAGAATTGTTATTGGAATAAAGTCAAACCCCTACAAACATGGGTTGTTCTTCTATTCTATGTGGAATAAGCTACTTCTCATACAAGGATGTAGCAATGACATTACTATTCAAAGGATTATATTGGACATGGAGTTCAATGAAAGAGGTTGTAGAATTATGCTATAATCGAGGGCAATTTCCAACTAAATTGGTCTAGCAATTGACTACACAATAAAATCCCTAACTAGACAATTAGTATGTACTCAACTTAGTCCTCAGTTAAAGCATCATTAAACTTTGATTTTCATCCGAAAAATAAAATCTGATAACTTCTTGAACACCATGCTGTTTAATTCCCAAAATTTACTACGTGGGTTATCTAAGTCATAACCGTTCCAACTAATAGTACTCATTAGGATTGGCGGGTCTGGATCCCAGAGCCTGCGAAAAACAAGTTTTTTGAACACCTATATGGAGTGCAATTAAAATTGTATTCTTGGCTAAATCAATATGGACAAGATTCAGTGGAAGCATCAAACCAAGAATTATGTATGAAGGGCAAAAACCAAGAAAGCCCAATCCATCATCACTCGGCCTTCAACCTCAATATCTCCTTTGCTGTCCTTAACCTAAAATATGGCATGTGCTCCTACAACCAAAATGAAGTAGTAAAGGAAGAATACCAGTATTAGTACATTATTATTATTATACCAAAATCCCACAATCCAAAATGTTTCTTGACTTCCCTTTCATATGCTCTATATATGTTCTCAATCTCATAAAAAGCTTCTTCTCACCTGGCTAAAACAAAGTCCCTTGTCTCTGCTGTAGAAATCAACATACTTGATCATAAACATGCCACAATCAAACCTGGGTACAATACAAATGCCAATTCACATTATCAGATGAAATTAAAGAAAAGACCAAATGTAAGACATAGAGTCTAATCAGAAGGTTGCTATTACAGAAATGGAATACCAAACAGTCAACTTTAAGGGAATTGCAGAAATAAAATAGCTAAGGGGGATTAAGAGGGAAATTTGCAAATCTAGCACCAGCTAAGCAGATGTTACTGCCTTTATCTATCATAAAGCCCAACAAAGTAATCAACTTTTGCAAGAAAACAGGCTATCTATCATTAAAGCAAAGGGTAAAGCCAGCAGGTAGGTAACAGCCAAATAAATATATTCTTTCTATAACAGGATATAAAAAAGAGAGAAAAAAAAAAAAAAAAGGCCAATTAATGTGGCATGCCGAACGGGGCCGGCCCAAACCTGCCCGTTTCGCATGCTGTGCAACCGAATGCACCTTGCAAGGTGCATATGGTTGCAAAACGGCGCCGTTTTGGTTAAAAAAACGCGCGTCTCACTTAAAGAAGAAATCAGGTTCGATTCCCGGCAATAGCATTTTTATATATCCAGAAATTCATAACTATATAACCACAATTTCATAACTATATATCCACAATTTCATAACTATATATCCACAGTGAATGAATGAAGTAAAAATCCACAATGAATGAAGTAAAAATCCACAATGAATGAACTAAATATCCACAATATATGATTGAACTAAATATCCACAATGAATAAACTAAATATCCATAAATTCATAACTATATAACCACAATTTCATAACTATATATCCACAATTTCATAACTATATATCCACAGTGAATGAATGAATGAATGAAGTAAAAATCCACAATGAATGAACTAAATATCTACAATATATGATTGAACTAAATATCCACAACGAATGAACTAAATATCCATAAATTCATAACTATATAACCACAATTTCATAACTATATATCCACAATTTCATAACTATATATCCACAATAATGCTATTGCTGAGAGTCGAACCTGATTTTTTTTTTTTTTTAAAGTGGGACGCGCGTTTTTAATCAAAACGACGTCGTTTTGAACCGTATGCACCATGCGCATGGTACATTCGGTTGCACAGCATAACTATTGTGCCCGTTTGGCACCTCCAGTGAAAGTGAAGAAAATAAAAAGGCAAGAACATGCAATCTTTCTTAAATAAAATTCATTCACATATCTGCAAAACTTACTAGTATTGGCATAACACAAGGGTCTCTTCCCCTCAATGAATCAAGATACTGGAACTTTCCATCCTTCTTGTTGATGACAGCTAAACACCAATGCACTTCTTTGTGGATAGGAACAAAATTAAAATCTGAGCAGTTAATACAATACTCAAAATTTCTGGTTATGTAACAACAAGAAGACTTAACAATTATGTGTCTACTTGAATGTGACAAAGTAAAATTTCTACGTTTTGAGCTCGTATTAATATGGGTTAGGTCGCCATGTGTGCACAGAGTATATGTGTTTGTGATCCCTACTTGCTATCCACTACACCAATTCGCAGGTATTCTGCTAATTATTATAGCAATAATAGGAATATTTGGATTAATATCTTTTAAAGTTGTTATAGTAATGCTCAAATTAAAACAAGACTAAGTGGATAGTTTTATTCCTCGTTTAAACTGAACGTGTGCACGGAGCTGGTGAACCATGAGCACAGTTATTGTAATAAAACTCACATTTTGTAAAACTAGTAACAGTATTGACGCAGACCAACTCTATGGTGCCTAGAAATTATTATATGAATTATGGCAGTAAACACAATACCAATTTTATTAATAAAACTACTAATAGTAATACTAAAAATAATTATGAGTGCATAGTTTCATTCTTATTTTAAACTATATATGTGCACGCCGCTGGTGAACCATGAGCACGCATAGCCATACTAAGGAGTCTGGGGGAGTATTACTCAGAGAATTATATTCTTTTTTGTCAGGACAATTCCTGCTATCGTGCTCTGGTCGGTCACATGTAGCGCACTTCCTCACATTTTTCTTTGCTTTCTCGGATGCTTTTTCTTTGTTGCTCTTCAATCTTTTCACACTACCTTTGTTCCTGACAATACTATTGATTCAATCAATGATTAGGGTTGGGCACTGGGGTTGGGTTGGTGGTTTCCCCTTTGTAACTTCCCTTTTAGCTCTTGCATTGTTTCCAACATTAGCTCCATTTGGTCTGGCCATCCATTAGCTAATCCCATGCAGTTATAGAATTCATTCCATAGTTTGTTGGCAATTGTTCGCCCTTCATTTCCGCCATGCGTATTAGTGCTTACTTTCCACATGATATCATACATTGGTCTTGTGCACGCATTTTTTGTCCACCGGGGAACCATATACCTGCTTGGTATTTCTTCTATGCCTTCGTCTTTGAAAACCGCAAACACATGCTTACACGGGATGCATACTCTGTTGAATTTGTTGTAGTTGCATTCTGTTATTTGAGTAGCCTCTACATGTGTTACATGAAACAGTTTCGCGTCAGTTTCGTGCACAACGTACTTCCGGCTCTCCCATATCTCTTTTTTGGAACACTAGCAAATAAAAATAACAAAAATATTACTTTAGTTTCAAAAACTTAGAACTTTTACTTCCACTTGTTTCTAAATTTTATTGGAAAAAAAAAATGAATAGATAAAAATCATGACATCCTTATATTAAACAATTAAAACATATCACATTATAGGAAATAGAAAATGATAGTATAAAATACGAGTATATGTAAAATCACTCAAAATATAATATAATGAGTGTTCAATTCGTATTCATTTTTTAGGACAAAACATAATGGTTGATTAACAATTAAGTTGCAAGATATATTGGGGGAAAAATCCGATTACAAAATTTTAATTATTAGAATAGTTGTAATATTATCGTTTAGTCTCATATCCGATCGATGTGGTACGGGATGAGAAAAGTGGTCGAAATAATGGAAAACGTAATCATGGAGTAATTGAAGAATGAAGAGTGGATATATCTTAATAAGGGCGGTTTTATAATTAGAGGTTACTAGTATTTGCGCCCGTGCGATACACGGAATGAATTTGTTGTAATATATTAAGAATATATGAATTGATATATAATTATTTAAATTAGAACATCAAATATTATATAATGCAATTAAAGATATCATTTGGATCGTTTATATATTTTGATGTTATTATTGCTTGATTTTGTGCAAATAATTGCTCAAATTAATAGCTAATGTGTAGTCAATTATTCTTTTTTATTTTCAGTCAATTATTAGTCAATTAAAATATAGATACAGTGATATTTTTACATAATTTCCGTTCCATTTTAATTTGATGATGTAGAATATTATTATTGAAATATTTTCGTTTCATTTTTAATTTACCTTTACTATTTTTTAAAATATGCATTTACTATTTGATGATGTAAAATATTATTATTGAAACATTCCCTTTACTTCTCAAAAAAAAAAAAAAAAACACTTTGGACTTCTTTGTAAGAGGAGCATTGCTCCTCAGAGGAGCTGAGCTTACATTTCCAAACATTTTCAATGTGAGATCAAAATGATTCCACATCATTTACAAAGGGAGCCCGTGGCTCCATTT